TTATTTCGTTTGTTTTTGTTGTTAAAAACCTACATAATATGTGTTTTTTCTGCTTTGTAGATTATTTGTCTTCATTTTGAAGATTAATTGGAGCTATATTGATATGTTTAAAATTGTAGATATTTTGTAGATTTTTTGTTGTTATTTCGTATATAAATTGCAAATGTATCTATGTTTTAAGCACTGAATTAATGTGAAATTATTTGTCTTCATTTTGAAGATTAATTGTAGCTCTATTAATCTGTTTAAAATTGTTGATATTTTGTATATTTTTTGTAGTTATTTTGTAGATAAATTGCAAATGTATCTATGTTTTTTAAGCACTGTATTAATGTGAGATTATTTATATTTTGTGCAGAATGGACAATTTTTTTATTATGGGGTGCTTAGATTCCAGAAATTATGTGACCCTAGCATTCCTAGCCAAATTAAAGAGCTTTTGTCTCCAAATGGTTTGAAGCTATACGAGAAGACATGCTTAGGTTATTTATTGTCATTTCCCAATTTATGCATGCAAAATCAAGCTATTCATCTTCTTATAAAGTATGAATTGAATTCATCCGATGCTTCCTCTTTTTCAGCCGAGTTAAAAGGTGAGAGGTTAAATTTTGCATTGAGAGAGTTTGCATTAATAACTGGTCTTAGATGTCATACCGAGGTGACAAATTTTGGTTACACTACGAATTATGTCAGTAAGATAATGAGCAGTTACTTTCCAAACAAGGTAAAATTGGAGAAGACATACCTAAAACAGATTGTAACCAACAAGCTGGGTAAATGATGGGGATGCAGTAAAGTTATGTATTTTATATCTCATAGAATTCTTTATTTGTCCTTCAGAGAAAGACCATTTTGGATTGGTAGATCATTTTAGGTTTTATTTGGTGGAATCCGGTCAGTACGAGACATACCCATGGGGTATTCAGTGTTACAGACAGTTGATTGAATCAGGTAGGCACATGCTAAATCCTTTCGTTCATTCTTATCTCATTCGAGAATTCCCACAAGCCATGCAAGTATGGTTGTATGAGTGTTGCTCCTCCGTCAACACTGATATAGCTACAAGGATTTCTAATTCAATCCCTCGCATAATTAACTGGTCAGCTAGTAAGGGTCAGATTTGATTAGCTGCAATTGAAGACAGAATGATCAAGCCTGAATGGATGAAGGTAAATGGTTTTTATTTATGATTATACAATTTACCTACAAAATATCTACAATTTGTCTACATATTCTGCTTAATCAAGCTAATTTATTTTTTTTCTCATTCAGTTCACCAACATAAATGAATCACCTGAAGAGCTTTCAGTGATGTCTTTTTCTGATAAAGTTGAGTACATAATTGAAGAGGTTGAACATATTTCTGAGGATCCCAAAGTTGATGCTCCTCCATTGGAACCCAAAGAATCAATTGGAAAAGAGGATAAGGAGTCTATTCTTCATAAAATAAGAAAGTTAAAAGAGGTCTTGAGAAGGTAACATGTATTCCTAAACAACATTGTGATATATACATAATAGTGCATCTGTTCTTTAATGTATGTTAAGACATATTCTGAAGTTAACTATGTATTTTTTTAATATGTAGGCCGATGAAAAACTTGCAGATTTTAGGAAAGATGTCTTTGAAGAACTAGATAGCCTTCGAGTGCTAATAAATGAGTCAGTTAAGACTGTTTTGCAGGTGATAAACAGTCGAAATGATCAAGTTGATGCAAAGGTAACATTTGAATTTTATTCATATTAACAAAACTATTTATGTTACCTCTAAAATATGTATCCTAACTAATATAAAACTTTCAGTTTGCTGGGAGTTCAACCAAAAATACTGACCAACCAAAAGACAAGAACAATCAGCAATTTCAGTTCACTAGTGGAGAACCAGTGCAGGCCAGCAACAGCAAAATAGGTATCTACAAAATAACTCCACTTTATCTACAATTATCTACAGAATATCTACAAAATATCTACAAGTTATTTACAAAATATCTACAAATGTCTACATGATTTAGGCAAAATATATACAAATAAATACAGCATATTGGCACAGCTCTACAGATTTATGTAGATCTTATAACACACCTACATATCTTCTTAAACTGTCAAACCACTACTATCCAGTATGATTTAACATTTTTAATAAAAAAAACAGACCATGTTGAAGGTGCACTTGGTGAAGAAAATCATCCAGCACGTGTTGATTTATATACACATTTTGAAGGTGCTATTGATGAAGAGAATGCAGGCATGAAATTGTATTCAGAGATGTTTTCTTTATGTATCAATATTTTTACCATTCTATTAAGCTAGATATACATGGTGTTATAGAGAGGGAAGATATGCATGCACAATCTCTAATTCACGGAGTGACAGTAGCAGCTCAAAGAGAACAACAAAATGAGGAAGATGACAATGTAGGTGAAGAGGCAGAGTATGTGAATGTAGGTGATTTAGAAGACTCCGGAGGTGAGAAGAAGGAGGTTACACTTGATGATTTCGAGCTGCCTGATAACTTCTCCCAGTTGGTTAAGTTCAGCGAGCCTATACAAGATGAAACAACACCCATGCATCAAGGTAGAACAAGGCAGCCGGGAAAGCATGCCCGATCACCATTTCTCCCTTTATACAGTTCTGGTGGAAGCACCTTGGTTGGACCTCAAATTTTTCTACCTCAAGTACCCATTTATTAGTGTTATTGGTCAAGATGTAGATCCTGAGTTGTTGGATCAATTCAACAAGTGGTTATACCACGGTACCGACACAAGTTCAAAGATGTTAATTTGCACAATTTGACACTTTTATTCCAGTATTCATCTTTTACCTATCCACTTCATTCAACAATTTTATTTTAATTTCTATTTGTTTATATAGGAGGAAGGCTTCGTATTCTATACAGGACAACCAAATTAAGCCATGGTTAGATCTTGGAGTGGAAAAGGTTGACAAGAAGGAGTGGTTCTTTTCCCTGGCACACCCCGGACAAGTCCTCAATGACTTGGTAAGATTCAATGTATTTGATTTGTAGATATTTTGAAGATAATTTTATTCTGATTGTAGATGCTTTATTTTCTGTTTGTAATGTAATTGTAGTTATTTTGTAGTTTTGTGTAAGATTATTTGAAGATAACTTGTAGTATAAATGCAATATGTTTTTGTTGCAGTACATAGATGTTATAATGTATTACTTGAGGAAAAGAGGCAAGTATGGCCCCCACAATAAGACCATGTACAACAAATTGTTTGTTCAAGACTAGGATTGAACAAATTTATGAAAAGTTCCAAAATTCTCCTCAAGAAAAGAAGTTTTCTGTTGTCAAACCCCAGGACGTTGTAGCAGAATATATATTGGGGTATAGACTACTTGCAAATGTTGCATGGGATGAAGTTGAGTATGTCATCATGCCCGTCAACATTGTAAAAAAATTCCACTGGGTGTTGGTTGTTTTTGACATTGCAGACAGGCAACTTTATGCGTATGATTCCATAGTCTCTTCACGCAATCAACCTATTGTTGAATCTTGTGTCGACAAGTTTTCTGTTATTATCCCTTTGTATTTGTCATGCACCAGTTTTTATGGGAAGCGTAAAGACATCAACTTCAAGAATACAACGGCATACATTGAGAAAGCTGTTACCGACCCTCTTAACATTTAGTGGATCGTAGGAGAGATACCACAGCAAAAAGAAGGATCACTATAACAAAAATCTTCTTTCTTTCTATACATTTAACCCTTTTTTCTAATTGTTTGGTAAATATTGACATTTTTTTTATCTTTGCAGCGATTGTGGTATATTTGTTGTTGCATTTGCAGAGTATGTTAGTCTTGGAGAATAATCAATTCCAGCAGAAGACCTTTCTGATATTGACCAACATCGTAGACGCTATGGAGCGCTACTTTGGGACTATGCTAGAAAGAAGCAGGAGCATGGGGCAATTAGTGAAAGTGAGGTGACAGACAAATTGGCAAGGAGAGAAGGTGCACCAGCTTTGAATGAGAAAACACGAGTCCAGAGGAAGAAGTAGTTGTAATGTTTTGTATGGAACATGCAGTACAATTGTTTAGTTGATGCTAGTTTAGAAGAAAGATGGTAGACAAGTTTTTGAACAATATTGTTGTGTTTTAATTGTAGCAGACTTGCTATAGTAGCCTTTGTTTTTTTTCTTATCCAGTATAGTAGTTCAAATGGAAATATTCTGTTGGTTTTATATTCACTTGTTGAATGTTTACAGTACTTGATCTTCATTATTTTAGCATATAAATCCTTTCCAACTGAATTTTTATATAGTTATTCTGTCAACGCAAAAATATGTTGTTATTTTGTTGTTTTTCTGTAGATAAAGTGTAAAAATTAGTAACTAAACATTTTATTGCTTTTACATTCAATTTGTTGAATGTAAACAGTACCTGATCTATATAATTTTTAGCATATACATTCTTTCTAGCTGAATTATAATCTAGTTATTATGTCAGCTCCAGCTATTGTAGTTTTTTTGTAGTTGAATTTGTAGATAATTTGTACAAAATATTTAACAATGTGTTTCGTTGCTTTTATATTTATTTGTTGAATGTAAACAGTATTTGATCTACAATATTTTAGTATATAACTCATTTCCTACTGATTTGTAATGTAGTTATTCTGTCAATTCCAGTTAATGTAATATTTTTGTAGCTGTATTGTAGATAAATTGCAAAAAAAATATTAACAACTATAAAAAGGATGCTAGAGATAGTAAAAAAGTGGTTGATTATATCATAAACAAATCACTCTATGAAAGTATTATCTTAATACAGAAAAATCTTAACTAACTACATTATTATCTTAAAAAACCTCAACCATTACACATCAAATTCTGTTATCCTAAACTCACCAACAATTTTTATGAAATATTCTGTTAACTACATAAAATTTTATTTCTTTTTGGGTGCATTCTTGCAAGATCTTTTGTTATGCCATTCTCCTCCGCAGTTGCCACATGAAACCTTGTACTTCTTTGAATTTATTTAATCATATGTTTTGTATCTTTCTTTTTGAGGTCTTCCTGGCTGTCTTTTCCCTCCTGTAGGTGGATTTACTACTTCTTCAGATATATGTTGTGGCACATTCCATTTGCTTTCATCAGGCATGGGATTTACTGGTATTTCATAAGTACGCAATAGGCTCTCCCTTGTGTAAAACGGCGAGCAATAGTTTTCATAAGACTCATTCATGTGCCTTAAAGCAACCAAAGCATGCGCACAAGGAAGTTCATCAAGCTGAAATTTCCCACACCTGCATCTCTTGTTTTCAAGACACACAATGTACCACTTCACACCATCTATCACAGTATGGATATGATCTGTTGACGCCCTCACCTACAATTACATTACAAACAAAAAACAAAATATCTACAATCAGAATACAAATTATCTACAAAATATCTACAAACTGGGTACATTAAATTTTTATATTTTATTTTTATGGATGTGACGACCCGGCCAGTCGTATCATGAGTTACCGCTCTGTTTTTCCTATTTCTGCTTCTTAATGCTTTGTCTATCGGTTCTGTGAGTGATCGGGTTGGTTGGTCCGGGTTCAGAAAGAATTTGGTAAGGTTTGAGACACTTAGTCTCTTTTGAGAAAGCTTAAGTTGGAAAGGTCAACCGGATATTGACTTATATGTTAGAGGGCTCGGATGTGAATTTTGATGATTCGGATAGCTTTGGGAGGTGATTTGAGACTTAGGAGCGTTATCGGAATGTGTTTTGGAGGTACGGAGTGGATAAGCTTGAATTGGCGAAATTGGATTTTTGGCATTTTCTAGTTGATATGTGAGATTTTGATATAGGGGTCGGAATGGAATTCCGAGGGTTGTAGTAGTTCCGCGGTATCATTTGGGAGGTGTGTGCAAAATTTCAGGTCATTCGGACGTGGTTTGGTTGGGTTTTTTTATCAAAAGCATAATTCGGAAGATTTTGGAAATGTAGGCTTGAATCCGATGTGTTTTGGTTGATTCGATGTTGTTTGAGGTGTTTTGAAGATTGGTACAAGTTTGAATAAGGTTTTGGAGTATGTTGGTGCTTATGGTTGAGGTCCCGGGGGCCTCGGGGTGATTTCGGATGGTTGACAGAGAAGTTGGAATTTTGGTGAGCTGCAGATTTTTGCTGCTTCTAGTATTTCCGCACCTGCGGATTGGGGACTGCAGGTGCGATCTCGCAGATGCGTGGAAGGGAGCCGTAGAAGCGGAATGGAGCTAGGGAGGCAGGAAACCGCAGAAGCAGTTAGTGGACCGCACCTGCAATGGCGCATGTGCGGCTGGTGCATCGCAGATGCGGATCGGGGCAGAATAAGTAAAAATCGCAAAAGCAGTTCTTTGACCGCAAATGCGGTACTGCAGAAGTGGGTATATGGCCGCAAATGCGAAAATGCCTGGGCTAGAAGGTATAAATTGTGTCCTTCGCGGTTTTTGAGCTATTTTCACCATTTTTAAGTCGGCTTTGGAGCTTTTTGGACGATTTTGAAGAGGAATTTCAAGGGAACTTTATTGAGATAAGGATTTTGGACTTAAAACTCGTCCCTATGGTATTATTTCACGGATTAGAGCTATAATTAATGGAAATTAAGGGTTAAAATTAGGGAAACTAGGGCTTGGTATTGGAGACCTAGACTTGAGGATTTGAGGGACCTATTGTGGCCGAATTAGTTGTTTTGAATGTGTTGTATGTTGTTTTGCATTTTTTTTGGGATTAAATTGGTATGTTATTTTTATCCGGACTAAGATATTAATATTGTAAAAAATATGTAAAAATTGTGAAATCGTTATTATTTGTTAATAAATTACTATTACTGTTTTATATGTATTTTTGTGATTACAATGTATTTGTTGTGTTTTATCTGGTTTAAATTATTTATTTGCTTAAAGACTAGTAATATAGTTCCTTTTAGGGTAGTATTATGTAATGCCTTTTAGTGTAGTAAAATATAGTGCCTTTTAGTGTAGTATAATATAATGCCTTTTAGCATAGTAAAATATAGTGTCTTTAAAATGTAGTGCCTTTTAGCGTACTTTCCCTGTAGTTTAAGTATCTCTTATACTCAAAAATACGTCAAAATAATTGATAGATCAAACACAAACTTTGTCCAATTATAGTCAACATATATTTGGTGCTACTAGGCCGCAAACATCGAGCCTGGAACACATATATGAATATTTAATAATTAAATATTGTATAATTATAAAAATTAATTATTTAATTTACAAACAAACATATAAAATTATAAAACTAACATGTAAAATAATAAAACTAACACATAGAAGAATTCAGGATAAATTGGTGCGACTGGGCTCCAAATATCGAGCTTGGAACCCATATATGAATATTTAATAATTAAATACTATATAATTACAAAAGCTAATTATTTAATTTACAACAAACATATAAAATTATAAAACTAACATGTAAAATAATAAAACTAACACATAGAATTCAGGATAAATTGGTGCTACTGGCTCTAAATATCGAGCCTGGAACCCATATGTGAATATTTAATTATAAAAATTAATTATTTAATTTACAAACCAACATATAAAATTATAATAAAACTAAGCCTGGAACCCATATGTGAATGTTTATTTATAAAAATTTATTATTTAATTTAAAACTAACATATAAAATTATAATAAAACTAACACATAGAAGAATTTAGGATTTCTTGGTGCTACTGGGCCTCAAATATCGAGCCTGGAACCCTTATGTAAATATTTATTTATAAATATTAATTATTTAATTTACAAACTAACATATAAAATTATAATAAAACTAACACATAGAAGAATTTAGGATATCTTGGGGCTACTAGGCCTCAAATATCGAGTCTGGAACCCTTATGTGAATACACCATAATTAAATATTGTATAATTATAAAAATTAATTATTTAATTTAAAAAAAAACATATAAAATTATAAAACTAACATGTAATTAATGTTATTTAATTTACAGTAGACGACATGGAGGTGCCGCCTATTCATCCCGGGTTTCTACAGGATTTGGGAGATCGGGCGGCTGTAGCTCGATTGGTCTTTGGTCACGGCCCTGATAGAGCGGTGGAGATCGGAGACACACACATTCCACCTGCCCATTGGCGAGGCCATCGTCACACTGCAGGACGTGTAGGTTTTATATGGGCTGGCCATTGATGGTCTGCCTGTTGCTCTGCCGCCTGGCATGAGAGAGATGACATGTGTGCAGTACCTGGACATGCTGCAGCGATTCACTGATTTCCGGCCATAGGATGAGAATCTACTGCATGGGACCAGTCGTTTTCCGTTGACGACTATTCCACTGTGGTTGGAGGCATTGTCCGGATCATCATGCTGACTGGTATACGAGGTTGTTGCTACTCCTGTTGTTTGGAGGGGCCTTGCTCCCGAACACTTTGGGGAACCTAGTCAGCTTGAGATTTCTTCATCATCTTGAGCGGCTAGATGATTTACCCTAGTACAGCTGGGGCACTGCTGTTCTCGCCTACTTGTACATGCATATGTGCCGGGTGAGCATGGCACCCAGCGTGAGGTTGCTGGATTTGTGCCGCTACTACAGGTGACAACATATTCGAATACTCTATTCATTTTAACATGCCTAGTAAAAATATATCATACATTTTTACGCAACTTTTTATGTTAGTTTTGGACCTGGGAGCGGTTCCTGCAGTTGCAGCTACATCTACCACCATTAGATCCGGATGTACCACCGGAGTTGCTCCCTCTAGCTAGGAGGTGGGTTCTCCGGCAGAGACATACGTGTGAGTACGAGGCTCGGCATAATCTCTCCTTGTGCAGAGATATATTGGATTTGCTGGATGGCGCACAGGTAAATGTATATCTAAGTTTACTTGTAATTTCTTCAAACACAAGTTGGGTATACTAACATTTTCTGTTCTTCCTTAATAGTTCATCTGGATGCCATAAACCGACGCGGTGTTAGTTGGCTTGCTCTGTTATTGCTCGGCCGGCCGTGATATGTGGGGCTCTTCCATTCCGTTGTTCTACCTTGATATTGTAGAGCATCATGCCACCGAGCAGGTACTTCGCCAGTTTGGCAAGCCGCAGCTCGTACCGACACCGCCCACCTGGGAGACAACACATTACCAGAGCGATGATCGTACTAGGGTGGACGACACATATTTGGCATGGGTACAGGATTAGATATTTACTTGGGACCAACGATTAGACCTGATAACCCCCTTCACCGAGTCGGTAGGATACTGAGCATGATTATATTCCCTGGTACATCGGTGTTACCCGACTTTTCGTCGAGAACTCCATTCATCAAGCTGGTGATCGGTACGTTCCATACGCCGGGAAGCACGAGGCACTGGTATGTTATTTAGTATTCTTACTTATAACCGTGATATAACGTTTTGTAATTTATATTTTACATGTTGTAAAGGGCTATTGGTCTACATTTAGTCCACTAGTTGGGACTGCAGATGCAGCAGCATGCCGACGATCATGTGGTCGCTTTGTAGGAGTATGGCCGGTAGGTTGCAGAGCTGGCTGCCCGAACACTGCATCGAGCTAGAAAAGACGAGCGCTTAGAGCACGTCCCTGCTTATATGGTGACTGAGCACTACTATCGAGGTAGGACTATCCCACGAGCGAGGGGACGACGAGGCAGGGCTGTCCCACTATCACGACCCGGATTTTCCACCATCGGGAGTCGTGATGGCACCTAATAATGTGAGCTAGGCAAGCCAATTATTTGAACAAATTGCTTCTTTATCCATTTTATACTCTTTAACAATTATAAAGCCAAAGCGTGTGGACAGCGGAAAATTTCAATATGCGGAAGAAATGCAGTAAATTATCTAAATATATATGTCTAATACAACTGTTTGAACCTCGACCACCCAGAACTGGTGTCACAGTACCACAAACGATCAAAGAATGCTACATACAAAGTCTGAAAACAAACAATACACTGTTTCTGAATTAAGGAAATGAAACAGGAATAAATGGATAGAGGGAGACGCTAGGGCCTGCGGACGCCTGCATGTCTACTCTGGATCTCCACGTGGATTGAAGGCAGCCACCCAATCTTGTGATGACCCGGCCAATCGTCTTAAGAATTTACTCCCCGATACCCTATTAACTGCTTTCCCCCAGTTTATTTCTGCTATTTTGATTTGCCGAGATATTCGGTTTTAAGTTTCGGAGAGTTTTGGGACACTTAGTCCCTAAATGAGAGCTTAAGTGTTAGAAAGTTGATCGTAGTCGGAACAGTGTGAAAACGGCCTCAGAATGAAAATCCGATGGTTCTGTTAGCTCCGTTAGGTGATTTTGGGCTTGGGGGCGTGTTCAAATTATATTTTGGAAGTCCGTAGCTAATTTAGGCTTGAAACGCCGAAAGTTGAATTTTTGAAGTTTCTGGTTCGATAGTCAGATTTTGATCCGAGGGATGAAATGGAATTCTGAGAGTTGCAGAAGTTCCGTTATGTCATTTGGGATGTGTGTGCAAAATTTCAGGTCATTCAGAGGTGGTTTGATTGGGTTTTTGATCAAAAGCGTAATTCGGAAGATTTTGGAAAACTTAGGCTTGAATCCGATGTGTTTTGGTTGATTTGATGTCGTTTGAGGTATTTTGAAGATTGGTACAAGTTTGAATAAGGTTTTAGGATATGTTGATGCCTTTGGTTGAGGTCTCGGGGGCTTCGGGTGTGTTTCGATGCTCAACGGATCATTTTTAGTTGTTAAAAAGTTGTAGAATTGCAGGTTCAGCTGTTGCAGATATTTACTCTTCGCGTTCGCGAGTGGACCCTCGCATTCGCGAAGAGTCAGTGGAGGTTAGTGAAATTTTAGCCTTCGCGTTCGCGAGGAAGGCTCCGCGTTCACGAAAGGCTGGATACTTGTGAACCGCGTTCGCGATTGGGCTTCGCGTAGGAGGAACATTGGCACAGTAGAATTTACTCATTGTGCTCGCGATGAGGGGAACGCGTTGGCGAAGGCTTGTCTGGGTAAATCATCGCGTTCGCGAGGGCCTTGTCGTGTTCGCATAAGAGAACTTTTGGTCAACGTCATTTTTGTGTTTCGTGAATGCGAGGCTTTGACCGCGTTCGCGAAGAAGGAATTAAATGCCTAGGCAGAATGTTTTAAAAGGTTTATTTCGCGAATTTTAGCCTAGATTCCTCCATTGTTAGGCGATTTTGAAGCGTTTTGAAGAGGGTTGAAGAGGAATTCAAGGGGAATCATTGGAGAAAATATTTTTGACTTCATAGCTCGTTTTTATGTGATTAAAGACCTAATTAGTGGTGTAAAATTTGGAAAAAAATGGGTAATTAGGGCTTGAGTTTAAGAGGTCTTTAAATGAGGATTTGAGGGGCCATTTGGACTCCGATTTCAGTGTTCTTGTTATGTATAGACTCGAGAGAGTACGAGGTTTCTGAAAATATAAATTTTACCTGATTCCGAGATGTGAGCCCGATGGGCATTTTGGTCATTTTATACAATTTCACGTATTAGCTTAAAATTTAATTGTAGAATCAGTTACTTGAAGTGTTATTTACATTATGCAAATGAATTGAATAGATTTGGGCCATTTGGAGTCGAGTACTCGTGGCAAAGACGTGGTGTCGGGTTGATTTTGAGTCGGTTCGAGTTAAGTGGCTTGTCTAACCTTGTGTGGGGGACCTTCCCCTTAGGATTGGTATATTTGATAATTGAAATGCCTTGTATGTGAGGTGACGAGTGCGTACTTGTGCTAATTATTGAAAATCCGGTTTTCTTTAAGTAATTACTAGTATGTTTCCTTTCCTGTTTCTATTTCTTGCACTATTAAGCATGTTGTTAGCTTAGGAAAGCATGTCTAAGTGACTTAATTTCTTTATTTGATTCAACCTGCCTTACTTGAATTCTGTGCAGCATACCCGCTAGAATCACTCATTTCCTTAATATGAAAATTTGCCAGTTCTGTATATCTTCCTGCTGCTGCTATGTATTTATTTTGGGACTACGGATGTGGGATTCCGGTAGCTCCCCCTTGTCTGTTTACTTTGGGACTACGGGTTAGATTCCCGGTAGATCCCCCTGCACATTTACTTTGGGACTACGGGTTAGATTCCCGGTAGATTCCCCTGCACAGTTATATGGAACTATGGGAATGTACCCGGTAGATTCCCCCAGTACTGGGTATTTACATTTGGGACTACGGAACGGGATTCCGGTAGATCCCCGTGCACTATGAGTCGGACTACGGGATGGGATCCCGAAAGATCCATTGGATATGTACATATGGGACTACAGGACGGTATCCTAGGAGATCCTCGACGGTTATTATTGGTGCTGAGTTGTACTTCCTTTCCATGTTTACCTTGTTTCTATATAGTTATTGCTGTTCGGTACATCTTGTATTATTTTACTGCCGTATTTATTTATATTGTTCTGTTCTATATTGTTGATCTTGATATTTATTTAGCCTCGGTAGGGCCCTGACCTTCCTCGTCACTACCTAACCGAGGTTAGGCATGGCACTTACTGAGTACCGCTGTGGTGTACTCATACCCCTTCTGTGCATGTTTTTCATGTGCAGATCTAGGTACCGCTGATCAGGCCTACTATCCTTGAGAGAGGCGACTACTCTAGAGACTTAAGGTACATTTGCCACGTCCGCAAACTGAGAAGTCCCTTTCTATTCCTGCTTTTAGTATTTAGCCCTTCTGTACTTTTCTATTCTTATTAGACATTCCGGAGTTAGAGCTATGTAGTATTGATCTTAGCTTGTGATTCGTGGGTTTCTGGGTCTTGGATTTGGATATTGGTTTTGAGATTTATATATGGTACATGCCGAGCGGCACATTTAAACAATGTTGTTGCCTTATTTCCGCTTTTAAATGGTTTTACTTCCGCAAGTTTTGGTTATCTTCCGCAATTTAGGCTTACCTAGTCGTAGAGACTAAGTGTCATCACGATAGTTTACGGAGGGCGAATCGAGGTCATGACAAGTTGGTATAAAAGC